AAATTGATAATAAGTATAAGATTTTTGGGTTATAATTTTAAAATTTTAAGATTTGTTATATGAGTATATGTATGTCTGTATGATTAACTCAATAAATTATGAAAACAAGGTATAAAAATTTTAATTTTGTTTTGGGTAATTCCAAATGATTTCCTCTTTCTATCTAAAACTTGATAATCAAAAATATTTTTCCATACTTTCATAAATTTGATAACAGATGAAATGTAAATTCTTTATCAAAAATTTTAATAATTGTCGTTCAATAAAAAATTGAGAAAATCAAATCCTATTGTCTATAGGAAATTTTTGAATTTAATAAATGATTTATTATAAATTTTTGTTAATAATTATTAATTACCATAGTAAATAATCAATATACGAATAAATAATAAATTGCAATAGTTTTAAATCTTGATATAGTAGTAATTAGATTAAAGATTTTTTTGCAATATAAGACATAAATATTATATATTTGCATATTAGGGAATTAGTTTTTATAAAATATGTATAATTATTGGGAAATGTAGTAATATATAGCTTGAATCAAATCATCGCATGGATTAAATCTTTATGAAATTAAAATTTTCATTAATTGAATGAAAATTTTAAAAATTAAATTCTGTATTTAAATTATTTTTGTAAAATTTATGAGACAAGATTCCTAATTTTAAAGTAACCTTATGCAATAATCTATATATGTACTGTTTTAAACAGTGTTCAGAATAGGAATGTACATTCTATGGCCTTATATACAATGCATTATGCATGTTTATACATACTACCATAATTCATATAAACAAATATACATTTTTAGTTGAAAATTTTTGCTTTTTATTTTCTTAAATTTTCTATTTTTAAAATTTATAAACTAACATTTTTTTTTGGAATAAAAATATCTTTTATTATATTAAGAATTAAAACATTCTGACAGTGGCATGAGAAATTTTTTTAAAAAAAAAAAATACAGTAATTCCAAATTGTCAAATTCACGTAAAGAATTTGAGATAGTGATAGATTTCACAGTAATTATTCTCTCGTAATTTCTTTCAAAAAATAAACAATAAATATCAATAACCCTAAATATCTAATAAAATGAAAAAAAAAGAACTACGGCAGGCTAGTAACCTCTATTTAGTTAAAATTCTATGACGCAAAGAAAATGAGACATGACTATTTATGATGTCATGCACTAGCCCTATGCTTCTTCTAGACGTAAAGAAGGTAGAAACAAATTGTTTTTGTCCAAATATGATTTTTACCTAGATTTACTCTGAATTTATATTTGCCTCATATGAATTACATACGACACATTTTAGCTCATTTTACTGTATTTATCTTAATATATCTAAATTTTATGTATATAATGATGTTTAGAAATATATTTGAACTCTTGCTATAAAATTGGTGAATGTCAATATTGGCAACAAAAAGAAATGTTTACTATAAAGTGCAATTTAATTAAATATTGCTCTGACAGTCTAAATTCACAGTAAATTTATAAAAACTTTTATATATAACACGAATCAAAATGTTAAAATGAATTCATAAACAATAATATACATAATAGATATTTATATACTTATTTATAAAAATTATTACAATTTACTTTAACTACATAATATACGTGCATACAAAACATTTAAAATTATTTAAATTATATATTGTATTGTAAAAGTTAAGAAAATATTGTTGTTAAAAGGAAACAATGAATTTGTATTATAAAATAATTTTAATGTATGTATGTTAGTATATTATAAAGTATATATATTATATTAAATATATAATAGAAAATTTTAAATTAAATAATAGTAGTGCACGTGATTGAAGTTAAATTAAATATTTAAAACGCAGCTCTTTTTTTTTCATATTTTTAAGAAGACAATATTCGCGCGGCATGTGAATCACATTAAGATCTGCGTCATATAAATTTTTTTAAATCGTTATTTATGAGATAATAAATAAAAGCGTATACTATAATAATAACATACATAATATTCAGTACATACGTATAATACTTAAATTATATTGTTGAATAAAAAGTGTGACTTAATTGAAAATATTGTAATAAATTACACTATTTCTGCGGAAATTTATTTTTAAATAAATTATAATGTTAAACGATATTATTAATTGGTTATTAAGCTAATTAAAGGATTCATTTACGTTAAATATTAAAAATTTGAAATCAACATTGTTTACTACTTATTAATTAATTTTATGGAGGCGAAATTTCGCGTAAAATTTTAAAAATTTCGAAACTGTATGACAAAGCGGAGGAGGAATTCTAAGAACAACAACAAAATTTCTTTAACAATAATAATATTTTTTTTTGTCTCTCATAAACTAATGTTATTTATTAAGAGTTGGGTTGTTATTCTTTTATTCTGCTCGTGTTCGCAAAATTCTGAAACACGAGTGTATAAAATTTTACACATACAATGAATTGTGCATTAATTAAAAAAAAATAATTTAAAATGCGAACTATAATAAAATTAATTGACTATAGGTGGCATATTAATCTGGTAAAAAAAAAATTTTTCTTTATTATCGCTGGAAAAATAAAAAACCATAAAGAAAGAAAAGCAAGTGTGCAAAAAATTACAAAGTCAATGATTAATTTTTTAATGTTTTTTTTATGGATGAGAAAATTTTAGCGTTCTAAAATTTTACAATTAGTGCGTTATCAATACTGAAGTTTGTATTTTGGTGGTTGGTAAACAATTTTTTTTTTTAACATTTTCTTTACCAAAAAAAAAGTAGTGTTGATTATTGAGTAGAAGGTTAAATTCAAAGGTCTACGGAATTTTTATAATATAAAATTATAGACGTACGTTTACGACGAAATAATATGATTTACGTAGGAATATTATATACGAATAATAAAGGATTAATCAATTTTAATATAGTTGACGTATAATACTTTTAATAGGTCAAATAAATTTGTGTTATATCTGTATTAGACTTGTTGTTTGTAGAATTTTGATTTTGCAAAATTTTAAAAATTATTTTTATATTTTATTTTAATTAAGTGAAATTTAAATTTAACATTATTTTTCAAAAAATCAAATTATTATTTAAAAAAAATCTTGTTGTTAATTTAAAAAAAATGTAATTTTCTACAAAAATCTTTAACTTTTATACATTTTAATTAGATATTGTATCACAATTTTATATGTATGTTTCAAATATAACACTTTATTTTATAATATTTAATTTTTTAATATTTAATTTTAATATTATTTTTATATTTATTTTTATATAATTAAAGACAAACAAATGAACCGTCAAACTAGTAAGTAAAAAATGTGTATAGGTTTTATTTTTCGTGTGCTTTGATTTTTTTTTTTCATTCATTCTTTAAGAGTTTAAACATTTTCTCAACAGATGTCATTACATAATTTTTGGCAATGCTTAATATTCATTCATTAATATTATAAACTGTGATTTAGAAGAATGAATGATCTTTGTTCTCCTTTAATTTATCTGATCATTTACTCGTACGGTATATCACCCATATTACCCACAGTATAACAGTTTTGAGTGGAATTTTCGATTTGATCTCGGATTTTTGAGATAAATCGGAAAACTCTCATAATGTTCTTATAAAAGATTTTTTATTCTATACTTCACATGACTAAAAAGAGAGAAATTGACATTTCATGAAATTTATTTTGAAAATTTTAAACATAATTTTACTAACATAGCATAATTCACATATAACCATAAGTTACTAAAATTAAAACAACTTGGTTTTCGTTTATTTTCATCTTTTCCAAATCATCATATTTAAATTATAAAATAATTAAAATAATTATACTTAGTTTGATTTACTTGTTAAAATCTTTTTTAATTTTCAATTATAATTAATGAAATTTAAATTTTGTAATTCAATTTAGAATTACAATCAAATTATACTGTTAACACTATATTTTTCATGATTTTGTTAAATTTTTATACAAAATGATTGATGATTAAATAATATAATTAAATTATACAATTATTATCATTGTTTTATAAATATAACATGAATGTAAAGAGAGTATACTTATGTAATATATATAAACATTTAATTACAATTATTATTATTATGTTAGAATTCCGTTCCGAATTCGGAGAGAAGCTTTTTGTCTTTTTTTTTAAACGAATTCTATTCTATTCATACGAGTATAATAAACTTTCATCGTATTTACAATTCAAAAATTTTTGAAAGAAAGCCTTTTGATTTAAAAATATAATGTATTGAATAAAATGTTTTCTATTAAACTTTCACAGTAATTATTTCGATTCAATTTTGTAGCTCTTAGAATTGAGCAAATTTTATTTTAATTTAAATATGGATATGTGTATACATTATATACGTATTATGTGATTGTTAAAATAATTTTGAATAATGTGAAAGTTTCTTAAAAGAATTTTATTTAAATTCATTGTTTTAAATATGAATTTGAATAGAATACATTATTTAACATAGTGCAATGGAAATTTTTTTTTGTTATTTTGCTCTTATATTATTCCGAATTTTGTGTATCGTATTAGATTTTATTGATTTCAATCAGAATATTATTTAGTTGAATCTTACTCAATTGTTAGAATAAAAAATTTTAGGTTACAATCAAAAATTATTTCAATTAATCAAAATTTATTATTTCTGAAACAATTTATATAGTTTATATAAATTTTACATAAATCTTTGTGTTATGAAGCAATTCAAGTGATAATTATTGACAAAAACAACCAAAATTGCTTATCCTCATGAAGTTGAGATGATTTGTGAAATATCGAGTTAAGTGTTATACTCTAGTAAAAGTTAATTTTGTCTTTAATCATACCTTATATATATAGTCATTCCTTCACAATATAAACATTTATAACTATACAAAACTTGTAATTTAATTTAATAAAAATTAATTAAATTATAACAATTATTAAAAAAAAATTTTTTTCAACGAAATTTAATAATCATTATTTCTTATTATTAATTTATAATTTTAGAAAAATTCAAAATATTCTATAATAATTTTAATTAATAAAAAAATTTTTAAAAATTAAAACAAAATGTTTAGAAATAATTTACGTGTAAGACTGTTATTTATGTTAAATCTATATACTAGTGTACGATTAAATTCATCAGCATCAGTATTAAAAAATCGAATAAGTTTATGTAATCGTACCGAAGAATCATTAGAATTAGTTCCAACATGTTTTAGGTAAGTTTTAATATTCTAAAAAAAAAAAAAAACAATTTGAAAGTTATGCTATCGTATAAGTTGTAAGTGATCCTAATATAAATTTTTACTATGAAATAAAAAATTGATGAAGAAGCATCATATTTTAATAAAAAAAAATCTGATGTGGTCAGCACATAACCGACCGCATTGTGTATTGTCTAGTTAAATGAAAGTGTTACAGAATATTATAAAAATGTCTGTTAAATACTTCTTTCCAATTTTTAGGACATTAGTAAGCTTATAGTTAACATACTTAGAAAAATGTAAATTTGGCTCTTAGTAGAGTTTCGCTTTGTGCTACCCGAATTCCCTGAAATGCTCGCCAGTTAGTTTCGGTAACAACCAGAACTCAAATATCAAATTTCAAGAAATTCCATCAATTTGTTCTGTGGATATGGTGAAAATTGTAAAATCGGCCCGCAAATCAGTTCTCGAGCCCTGATCTTTCCAAAAAATTTACATGTTCATTGTTTTAATACGGGGAATTCATATATTAAATTTCAATGAAATCAGTTGATTATTTCTCCTTATATACACAAAAATGTATATTTGGCCCGTAGTAAACGTCTTGTTGCCGATGCCTGATTTCTTCCAAAACATACGAATTTTTGCGGACGGTCGAGCTGAGCTTATATATAAAATTTCAAGTAAATCGGTTGAATACTTTCTTCAAAATGTTCAAAAATGTAAAACAGGCCCGCTAAAAAGTGCAGTTCCCGAGGCCTGATATATACCAAAAGTTGATCGATCCGTGCCATGATGGAAACAAACTTACATATAAAATTTCATCAAAATCGGTTCAGCCGAACTTGAGATAGGACAGAACCGACAGGTTGCTAAAAATAGTTTATTTACACTTCCCTACTATGGAGAAGTACGTTCCCACCGAAAACTCGATATGCAAAATTTGTTGCCATCACATAACCTACCTATTGTTTACACAATACGGTCGGTAATTATTTTGTATTTTCAAAATAACTTTCGAACTGAGTTGAAATTATTATTTTCTATTCCCTGCTTTATACTTTTGGGAGTATAGAATTTTCACAAAGCTTCTCCAAAGAACTATGTTAGGAGCCATTCGTTTTATTTCTGCCCATATCATGTCGGCCGTGATGATTTCTTTCTTTATTGTTTTTTGCTATGTGTTCTTGGGTCGTGCAACGTTTCTTATCCCTGCCTTGCTTATTCGGGGATGTTGACTTTGCGTAGATTCGACCGCACCCATTTGCTGTGAACCTATTATTGCGGAGGAGGCAACTTCTTCAAAGTGTTTTCTCTATCGTTGTTGTTGTTCAGGTGCGGAATTTAAGAGGTTACCATTTTTGTCTTTGATTGGCCGGTTATTTTTGATGTTGTTCTTGGTGAGCATTTTTATTTTATAGTAGATGGCGTCTATGTTATTTTGTTAGGTTGCTGCTTCGGCTGTAGAGGCAATGTTGTTTTAGTATTTGCGTTTGTCTTTCCTGGCAGACTTTTCAACTTCTCTAGCAATGATATTGTATTGTGCTCTTAATCCGAGCGTGGAGCTTATTTGGATTTCAATTATTAATTCTCTATTTCGCTTAATCTTTGTTCATGTATCGTCAGAGCATCCACATTTTTCTTTCGGTTCCATGGTTCCTAGCACCTCCACTCCATCTAAAAATCATAATATACGTTAGAAATTGTTTTTGACAAAAGTATATTGGTTGTCAACTTCATTATAAATAACAAAACTTCTTATATTTAAGATTAATTCTGAACATTCGTATATTCTTATCTTGACATTTTAGTTTTATTTGTATTCAGTTTCCTATAATTCTTAAATTCATTATGTTGATAATACAAAATCTTTTCTTTTTAGTGTTTTATTTGTTTTTTTTATAATAATGTTAAGAAAAAAAAAAGAAATTGTGTTTGCCCTGAACTCATAAGTTATGTCGGTGCGAAAAATAGATGTGTTTCATTTAGATAAGTCGATAGTGATGGTTTATAGTTGCCAAGTTACGACTTCTTTCTGTGTTTATTTGTTTTATAAAATTTGTTCCAAAATATGTAAACTCCTTTTGACATTGGTACAAGAATATCCATTATGTAGGTTCAGAACTGTTCCGAATTTTCTATTGTAGTTACTTAAATATTTATTGGTAATTTTACGAAAGCTTTTAAAATTTACAACAGCGATAAATTCAAATCATTATTAAAAGTTCAGGAATTAAAAATAATTTATTAATAAAAATTTATAATTTGCATGTATCTACATAGTATGTACTATAGTGACATTCATTAATTTTCAATTGTTCTTTGGTTGACTGAACCCATAGTATAATTATGGTTATTATTCATAAAAAATGTTAACACTATAAGCATACGGAACTTTATTACATTATGAATAAGAATATGAAATACAATAAAATAAAAGCAATTATTATCGAATAATCTACCTAGTACTAAAAAATAACTACTTAATACAAACCACAAGGCGTCGGTAATCTCTTTACTCTTTATTTTAATTAAAATATAGGTAAAAAGTTATTGCCAGCTGAGAATTTTAAAATGATATGCAGCTTTAAATTTTATAATTGAATTTTTGCTGCCTGGACAAAAAAAAAATTAAAATTTACAAAATAAATTTTCTTTTTATGAATTGCTGTTGCTTTAATTTTTTAACGTTCGACTTAAATATAGCCAAATTTTGGGTTATAAAATTGAACTTAGTTAAGCTAAGAAAATTAATGTTAGCATGTTGACACAAGATCGACTATGAACAACATTAGTTCAAACCATTAATTTTTTTCGGACCATCACTTATAAAATTTATACAGAGCCGTAAGACCGCTAAAATATTAACTATAAATAATAAAATATTATAGTGACCTTTATGCATTGTGTACGTAGACGAACATTGAGCTCTGCAGTACGTTTTTCATTATTTTTTATTTTAAATGTTGAAATTTTTATTTAAAAATTTCAAGAACAAGGTTTGCAAAATTAAAATAGCTCTATGTGTTTGAAAAAAAATAAATGATAATTACTGTCATGATAAGAACTATTATGTAGGTAATAGCATAAAGTATTTGAAATTGTAAAATATATTAAACCGGATGACAAATTATTAAGTGGTAGCTTTTTATGTATGTATAATATGTATGGTTCATGCATATATTAAAATCATAAAATTTATGATTTTAACTAACCTCCCTTATTGTGAACACTTCATTTCTGGTTCTAACGACATCTTAAAACAAGATTTTTTTCTTACATTCATTTTTCACACAAATTGGACTAATATTATTTAAATTTTTTTTTATTTTTATTTTACAGCAAAGTTTACTGTTATGGCAAACTACTGGATACCATTCAAATGGCAAAAATGTATCCCGATTCAAAGACATTCGTTGACATGAAAATGAAATATGAACCAAAACAAACTTTACAGAAATTTGAAGAACTTATGCAAAAACATGCTGATAAGCCATCAACTGATGTTTTGCAGGAGTTTGTTAAGGTAAATTTTCGTTAATATTATTAAAAATAAAGCAAACTATAAATATTGAGAAGAATCAGTTTGAAAAATAATAATTTTTTATTTTTTATAAAAATAGAACAATTTCGCTGAGCCTGGCGCCGAATTTGAAAATTGGGATCCCGTTGATTGGACTGAGAGACCACGTTTTTTGGATTCAGTTCGTGATCCGGATCTTCGTCAATGGGGTAGTGATTTAAATGGTTTATGGAAAATTTTAGGACGTAAAATGATTCCTGATGTTGCTAAAAATCCTGAACTTTATTCAATAATTCATGTTGATCATCCAGTTATAATACCAGGTGGTCGTTTTAGAGAATTTTATTATTGGGATTCATATTGGATTATTCGTGGATTGCTTTATTCTGAAATGTTTGATACAACCAAAGGAATGTTAAAAAATTTCTTATCAATTGTTCAACGTTATGGATTTGTACCAAATGGTGGTCGTATTTATTATTCAAAAAGATCACAACCACCTTTATTAGCAGCTATGGTGAAATCATATGTAGATTATACTGGCGATGATAAATTTGCTATAGACTCAGTTAAAACTTTAGAATATGAATTTGAATTTTGGATGAATAATCATTCACACGTTATTGATGGACATTGTTTAGTTGCGTATGGTGATAAATCGAGTGGTCCTAGACCTGAATCATATAGTGAAGATATTGAAACTGGTCATTATTTAGAAACAGAAGATGAAAAACAAGAATTATATAGTGAATTAAAAGCAGCGGCAGAATCTGGTATGGATTTTTCAAGCCGCTGGTTTATAACATCAAATGGTACAAATGAAGGAATGCTAAAAGATTTAAAAACAAGATCTATTATACCAGTTGAATTAAATGCAATCATGTTTTGGAATGCGAAAATTATTGCAGAATTTTATTCAAAAGCTGGGGATGTAAAAAAATGCGCTGAATATGAAGCAAAAGCTCAAGATATTTTAAAAGTAAATCTCGAATTTGTTTTTTCTATTTTAAATTTTCAAATATTTCAATTATTTATAAAATTAATCAACTATAATTTTTTAATTTTAGGCTATTGAAGCTGTATTATGGCATGAAGATGTTGGAGCATGGCTTGATTACGATTTAATAAATAACAAAAGAAGAAATTATTTTGTGCCAACAAATTTATCACCACTTTGGATGAAATGTTATGATATCACTAAGTCTGAACATATATCTGAACGTGTTTTAAAATATATAGAAAATGTTGGTATAGATAAATATCCTGGCGGTGTTCCAAATACATTATTAAATACTGGAGAACAATGGGATTTCCCAAATGTATGGCCACCAATGCAATATATATTAATCATAGGTTTAGATAATTTAGGAACACCAGAAGCAAAAAGATTAGCCGAGAAATGGACTAAAAGATGGGTACAATCGAATTTCGAGGCATATAAATCATCACAGCATATGTATGAGAAGGTACGAAAAGTTAAAATTTTCTTGATTGTATAACAATTTCTCTTTATTTAGTTTATTGTTTTCTAAAGTTTTTGTGTTATGATATTCATTGTAAATTTACTGTCTTTTTTAATTTGCTAGATTTAGTGGAGTTTAATTTAATAGCCTATTTTTTTTTTCTTTTTAGTATAATGCGGAAATTTTCGGCGGTTATGGCGGAGGTGGTGAATATGATGTTCAAGTTGGTTTTGGTTGGTCAAATGGTGTTATTATCGAATTATTAACTCGTTATGGCCATTTATTAAAGCCAGCAGTGAATGGTAACTCTTCATTAAACTGAAAAGCTCACAAATAATATTTAGTGACAATAAAATAATAAGTCATCTCAGTGCTGTGTTTAAAAATTTAAAAATAATAAAAAACATTATAATAAAGACAAAACATGAAACAAATAAAAAACGCACATATTTGTTACGAATAAATAAAACCCACCTCGCTGTAGTATATAGAATTATTAAATATATAACAATTTTATGTTTTGTATTATAAATAATATTCAAATATGTATATATTTAGTAAAAATTGTTTTAAAATTAAATTATTTATAATGTCGCACAATCAACTAATAAATCAAATAATAATTATAAGGATAATAATAATTAAGAAGGAACAAATCATCAAATTCACAATAATTTAAATGCATTGTTATTATGTACTTTATGTTTAATATCTGTCAAACGTGAATTATTGTTTAACAATAAAATTCTTATAATCATTGTACATCAGTTTGGAACATCATAATATGGAACGAATGCTAATCGATTGTAAAAATAAATAAATAAATATAGTAAGTTCATAAATTAAGTACCAATAACAATTTTATATAATTTTTGAATTTATATTATAAATTACCTGTTATACCCTGTAAAACTAGATTTATTCAAGTTTATATTAACAACAAGTTTTTCGTTTTTTTCAAAAAGAATTAACAATAAATTTCAATAAAATATTTATTAAAGATTTAAAACAATATTTCAAATTTTGAAATTCAAATTCCATTCCAATAATAGATTTACATTAATACATTGCGATAAATTGTTATTTTAATTGATAATCATATAATTGAGAATTAATTATACTAAATACAGTAATTATTACAGAAAATACAATATTGTGCTTAGAATAAAATTTTATTAATTAATGAATTGTGTAAGACTTTCATGTATCTGATAATGTACATTATTTAATTAAAGCCCAATGACGCACGAAACTGGAGCATGTTTATCTATATGGTATCATACACTAGCCCTTTTTTCACTCCTAGGGGTTTATTTATTTTTCTTTTTCAATTTCTAGGTAAATACAAATACTTAACATAAAATTCAACAATAATATATAGCTGTAGTATATCACAAACCTTAATAATTATATATATCAATAATTTATAAGCCCGCTCTAAAATTTCTAAAAATTACCATCATATTTAGTGTAATAAGATTGTCATAATTAAATCTTTTCTAATTTATAATGTTTTTTTTTCATTTTATTTTCAGATAAAAGTAATGGAAATATTTTCAGTTCAACAAGTAAATTAATTGGTAGTATGCTGGTTGCAACATTAGTATTACCTAGTATACGTAAATATATTTGGTAAGGTAAGTTGTATCATTAAATGGCAGCCGAAATTTTATCTTTAATATATTTTTTTTTTTATTTTAGGATTTGGTAATCATTTCGGAAGTATTTGCAGGCAGAAAATACATATTTTAATTTGTAAAATATTTTGTACTGTGTCTTATGTTCTGTTTAGCCCTTTAACTTTCTGTCATCAAAAGGATCCAAATGACACTTTGGTGGTTTTAAATTTAAACCAAATGTTTGCTTTTGGTGTGATTTTTTTTTTAATTGATAAATGTTTTAAGAATATTATTATGTATTTAAAAAAAAGCATTTAGAGGCTACCAAAAATATTGTCCTAAAATTTAAATAAGCTAATTTAGACAAATTTTAATGTGTAATTAGCATGCTATTGATTTAATTAATTGAAATTTTTAAAAAAAATATTTTTAATTTTAAGTAAAATTAAGAATATCGAATATGAATATTGTTATTGTATGAATTTGCTTGTTGCTAAATACATTTTCATTAATTTATTAACATATTTTTTACATGAAATTTTCTTAACTGAAACTTTTCTTATCATTTATAAGTAAAATTAATTGTCTAAAAAAATTTTTTGTAATCATAGTAATTAAAGAAATTCACAAACAAATTAAATTAATAAAAGATATTTTCAAAGTGAATTTTCACAAACAATCAAATTCGTAGAAATTTAAAAACTACATTATATTTCAATGCGAAAATATTATTTACGCGATTGGTTACTAGAATTAATTCAATTTAAATGTATAATGTGAGACGATCAATCTAGAAATATTTAATAAAAGAGTTGATGAAAAATTTTAGGGAATTCTATTAAGCACTATCATAAGTAAATCGATATTTTATAGATTTATTTTTTTCACAGAATAGAAATGTGTACTTAATTATTAAATAAAGCTTATACCAACGTAATCTGCATTATGGTTAAAATAAAAATAATATGATAATAAATTTTAAATTAAGAATATTCGGAATGCTTTACTGTATTATTAAATTTAAGTAGAACGATTTAATCTATTAAGTTGTAGGAAAAACATTTAAGCTTTAAAAAATTTTATATATTATTTTATAATATTAAATCAAAAAATGCAGAAAAAACAAAATAATATTAAAATATCATAAGAATTCTCTATGTTAATTATTTATAAACCAAAAAGAACATTTTATGCTTGCGTTTTATTTGTTAAGTTTATTCAAAAAAAAAAAAAAAATTAATTCTCGAAATATTAGAATCGTTATATTAAAAATTTATTTAAATTAACTTAAAAGAATTGCAAAAAACAACAAGATCAACACCAAATCAAATTTTATTTGATTTTTTATTTATTCTTTTCTTCTATTTTAGAATATAAGTATGATATAATTACAATAATAATTGAAAAATTTTATTTGTTCTGTAGTAAACGTAATATGTAAATAATTCTTAAAAATTTTATTTTAAATAAAAAAAAAATTTAAATATTAAAATTTTATTTCATCATGAATTTTATTTATATTAACCTATGTGCGTAATAAATTATTGTAGGTGTCCTTATTTTTTTTTTGTGTTGATAACAATGGTTTGTAAATTTAATGTTGGTATGTAATGTCTCTAGACCTTCTATTATATTAATTTTATTTACAATTTAATAATAATTCTTGTACAATATTTTACAATATTATTTTAAAATTTAATACAATATTGTTAATGTACTTATATTTACTTGCGTGAAGTAAAGCTTGAGAAAATTTCTTATAGTAGCACTCCTAGCGTTACTATCATCGTAAACTAAATATATATAGTTGGTTTGTACAATGTTTGAACCTATGTGGTGCTCTTATTCCCATTATACAATTACTTAATTATTGTAAATTATTTTGCATTATAACTACTTAAAAGAATTTTGCTCTAAATAAAACTAATTTTCAGGGATGAAGTATGTGTTCCGGTGGCGAAAACATTGAAAGAATTATCACCTTTTGTTTTAATATCACATTTTGATTAGAGAATATTTGCGAAAGTTTTGTGAATTGTAATAGTGTTATGGAGAAATATGGTTCAATGAGAGGAAAATGTTAATTATTTATTGTTTTTTTTTTATTATAAAATATTAAAGTTTTATATTATTATATGAATGTCATAAAAATAAAAATAAAAAAAAAGAATGATATTTATTTTAATTATTTTGCTTTTACTGCTTTTAAATACTTTGTCTTTAAGTTTTAGCCTATAATCACTTAATCAAAAATTAAAACAAGATTTTTGTATGTTGAAATGTCTTAAAAATATTTGGAAGTTGCAGGATAAAATGTAAAATTAAAACAATAACCTTCAGATTGATAAGATCAATTATTATAATTTAAAATTTTATATGTATATCTTACAATTTATAATAATCCAAATACATAATTACAACAATTATTTTAGCACAGTTACATACATATATGTAGATTACACGGGAATGATCAAAATGACTATAACACAAGCCGATGTTCGTAATATTAAAGGACCTAAATGCGTTTGAAAACAAACTATGTACATGCATAAAAGTAATTTTCCAACTCGAAGAACTCTGTGCCTATTATGACTAGTACCATCAGAGGTTATGCAACTTAATGTAACTAGTTTTGCCATTTGATTCACAATTATATTTTGATAGTCTTGCTACAAGTTAATGCAAAATTTGCTACAAGTTTTATATTGCTAGTTTTGCTACAAGTTTTATATTATTTGTAATTCAAGATTTATAGTTATTGTAAAAATTTTATTTGCAAATTAAAAAATATTAAAAAATTAAAATTAAGAATTGTAAATAGGTAAAATCTTTGGAAATCTTGTAATTAAATTTATTACTTGAATTTTTTTGGGAAATTTTTTATCCACTTTTTATTATAATTTATATGGGATTTTCGCTAGGTTTTTCTAAAAGCTTTAAATAAATGAAATAAAATTTATAAAATTGTAATAAATATTATAACAGTTTATTTGCATATTTTTTTTTGTGTAATTTAAATTTTATGTTGCGTAGTTTTATGACATTTTAAGATAAAGAAACTTAGCTTTCTCCGCAGAATATTTAAAAATATTTACGATAAAATTTTCATTTCTATTGGATTTATAAATCTCTAAATATTCACATATAGTAATTATAGAATTAAAAATTAATTATTCTTTATTAATATTAATATTAGACATGCACTTAATTAAAATTTAAGTAGTTGATGTTTTGTAAAAATTTATTAAAAATTATAAAACAAATTGTAAAATTTTTAAATTTTAAATTAAAAATCATATAAGAATCTTATCTAATATAACAAAAATAATTCAATTCAAGGTGAATAATATAACAGAATATTGACATTTTTTTTTTGTATTAATTTATTAGAATAATTTAAAAGTATCTATGTAGTAATTTATTACTTGTCTAACAAAAATTTTTTTTCATCATTATAATTGATCTTAAAATGTATATTAAATCGAATTAAGAATAATTTGTTTTTTTTTATAATGCTTTACATTAAACTACACATAATTATATTCATCATGAAAATTAATATATACATATATACATAAGATACCTTATGTTAACATACTTATTAATTAAAATTTTGCTTTCTACACCTGTTCAAATACTCATTTACTATAATTGCTGTTGAATTATATTATAATTGCAATAAAAAAAACAACAAAAAAAATTGTTAGTATGTATATACTCGTATATAGCATACTTTTTTTCATTTTTCTTTTATAAAATTTTTTTAATTGTACAAACATCAGAATCAGCTGAGCTTTAATTAGTTCTGTATAGTATAGTATTAAAGTTTCGTGATTAAATTGACTGACATCCCTATACTTTATGTATTACTATAATAATGTTAATATAGTTGCAATTTATTCCAATAATACGGTATAATTAAAAAAGAAATATGGTAATTTTTTAAATGGGGAAATGTGATTTTGTATTTTGATTTTTCTTTTCTGCTTAAATTATAAGATATTTTGTATTTTATTTTATTAAAGTATTTATTATAAATTTTAAAATACGATATTTGCTTGAATTTGAAATACACATGTGATTAATCAACTTTTTATACTTATGGTGCTGTTGTTACTAGAAATGCAAATGTAACAAGTGCTTCCTGAATAGTGCTTACTGTAACAAGTGAAATCTTAAATATAAGCCAGTTTATTGTAATAAAATTAAAGAAAAAATTTATATAATATACCAAAATTCGGTTCTAACTTATTCGGCGCTCTACGTGACTTCCAAATAGTGCAGTCACACGCTCCCTTTTGCTCACCCTTCCAGCATAATTTTCCACAATATTGCATGTCGCACATAATAAAACATTTTCTTGTAATTTGATTATGCTAAGTGGAAGATTGATGATAGTATTAAGGCCTGGAATTAAATTTTCTTTGAATATATGGTAGATCCGGTGCTGAGTATGCCATTTTAAAAGAGTGTAAGGTTTGTTACTTTTATTTCAATCTCTTTGATTTATTTTTCTTGAATTATTATTATAATTTATTTTTATCGAGCACAAATGCTTTGTAGTTTATAGGCGATTTTGAAATTTTTCATCGAAAGGTTTTAACAAAATTTTAACAAACTCCAAAAAAACTCCTATTATATATGTATATGTGAAAATGACAAATTTCCTTTTGGTACAAGTTCCTTATATATGGGCCTGACTGTATGTTTTTAATAATTTAACAATTACAATTTCTGCAATATACATTTATTACGACATCTAACACACTATTTAAATATTATTCTTATAATAATTTTAGCACTATTTAACGATGTTAGATAAGAATATTTAACGAATTTTTTTTTTCTTTGTGTATAATGATAAAATTATTTTACTAATTTGTAATTATAATAAGTAGACATAGAAATTACGGAAACAATGATTCTTAATTTTTATTATTATAAATATTGTGTTCAAAACAAAACTACATAGTAGAGAACAAAAAAAAAAAACCCAAAAACAATAACCAAAGTGAAAAAATTCTAACGTAGTTGTACACACCCCTCAATCCATTCATAAAAGCTTGTTGTATTAAATATAAATGTGTATGTGAGTGTTTTGTTTTTGCAAATTTTCAATTATTTTCTCTGAGCAGAATGTAGGAAATGACAGTAGATTAAGTACTTTAAATAGAATTGTAACAATATTCATTTGGTTTAACTAAAAACAAAAATAATAAAAAATAATTTTAATGAGCTAAAACCAAACTATCTAAGTATGTATACAAAAAAGAAAAGCTTTTCCCGGTCTTGAACTTCTCAAAAATTAACTATTGAAATGGGACAAATATTAGTAACTATAAAATTAAAAATAAATGTTTATTGGAGTTTTTGTCTTATAAAAGTAAATGGAGCTCGAATTTGAATCAGTAAAAAAATAGATGTAAATGGATTAACGAATATATCAAGATGGATTCTTGGTTATTTATTCCCGACTTGAATCCGTTACTTGGACTTTTTGCTTATTTTGAAGTATTTACCTGAGAATATCATAAATTTTTATAAACACAATACTGCAAAGAATAGTAACGTGGTGATGAAAATAAAAATTTTACGATATTGCTGATAATTTAATAATGATTATGAACAACTAAATTAACACCATTTGTTTATGAAGATAAATATAGCAGAGTTTTCACTACGATATCACGATATACAAAAGGTCTATTATTGGTCTTTATTGTTAATGTTATTTAGCTTCAAGTATTCGTGTATAATAATCGAATAGGTATATACTTTTAACAATTTTAATAGTATGCAAACCATTTGTTAGCAATTCAAGAGAACACTCCTTTATCTAAATGCTCATAATTTTTGTTGTAAATAATATTTCGAATTCATTCATATTAAAGTTTTTTGAGAAATGCACTTACTTTATAAAAGTTAAAAAAGAATTTTTTATGAACAACAATTTAATTAAATTTTAATTTACTGAGTACAAATATCTGCCAATATTCTAATTTGCTATTATGCTTTTGATAAATTTTACAAACACGAAATATAAAAAAACGTGTATACTTTAATGTAAATGTGTATGTATGTATATTACAACGGTTCAATCCAGCTAACAAAATAATAATTTTTATAGAATAAAGATCAGATCATTATAATACTCGAGCAAATGTTATAAACGAAGTCGAAGTTAGAAAATTTTATTGAATATTATAGAGACAACCTATAAATAACTTTTATATAGAATTAAAGCTGATAATAATTTCATTTGATATTGTTGACGAATAAAACAAATGCGGAAACTTTTTTTTTGATTCAGTTGCAATTCAGCACTGCATAAGTTTAATTAGAAGCGGCGGTGGTTGACTTTATTGTGTGATTCCTTAATAAAAAAACAAAAAAATCAAATAAACTTTGGATAAATTTAAAAATCTTATCAACATTTTTTTTTTTCTTCTTTTCTTCTTCTTATTGTTATAACAGTTGATAATATTATAATAGTGTTATAAATTATATATAAAGCGAGTTCATAATAATTCTGTTTAGTATTTTTATAAAAAAAAAGAGTTGATGTTTTTTTTTTCTTACGAATTAAAAATATTAAAATTTAGTTTATATGAGAACTAAATTAGAAATAATAAAAAAATTTATAAAAAATGAAAAATTTACAAATTGGTATAATTATTTTAATAAGTTTTTATTTCGGAAAAACTTATAATTATGCAATTGAAAAAAATTTTAATAATACCGAGATTGATAATTCCAGTGATCAAATTAAAAATAATGAAGATAATTTAAAATATTTAAATAGTGTTTTAAATGTTAATTCAACAATTTCGGATAATCGTTATTCATGTGATAGGTGAGTTTCAAAATAATAAATTGAAAATAATTTTAATAGAGAAAATTATAAAAAAGGAATATTGAAATTATGTATTAAAAATTATTAAAATATTTTCTTAATTTATTTACATTTGAAATATTGTAGTTCTAGTACATATAGAGTGCGTAGTTTAGTATGTGTTATAATTACTATATATTTCTCTTTCAAGTGGTTAAGTTAGGTTGTCTCTCCTTTTCCGCCCCTCATTCGAACCAGCCCGAACTTCTCAAAAATTACCTCAAATTCCTAACACTTACATTCGCTAAGTCTGTAGAGCGCCCAAAGAAATAATACCCAAGAAATTTCTGCCTGGAGTTTGCCAGGGTCGGATATGGACAAAGAAGGTGGGTCAGTCACCGACCCCTTCCCCTTCGTGACAGCAGCTCTTACAAAAATCATTTACGAAGCTGCCCATTCTCCTTGCATATTCGCCAATCAGACAATGGCCTGTCAGAAACCCTACCACAGCATCTGATATCCTTTCGTCTGAGAGAGATTAGATCCCTTAGTCGACACAAATCTAGCTTTGGTCACAAATTTCTTTGTCGCATTACACGTTGCTCACGATATAAATATAAAATATCAGCACAATATAAAAATAATTTAAAATAAATTATTAATAATTAAGTATGAAGTTATCACATTTAACATATATATTTATAAATACAAGAAGTTTAGCTTTGATAAAAATTACAAAAATTTTTTTTTTAATATTAAAATTTCATTTGGACAATAACAGGTATTAATATAACAATATGTTGCATTAAATTTAATTAAACATAAATACAAATTATAGTATACTGTTATAGCTCTTAAAATAGTTTAATTAACATTATGATATACAAATGATAAAATGAAATGGATTTATTCCTTCTGATTTTTTAAGCTTATAGTTTGAAGCAAAATTGTAAGCTTAGTTTAATTACAGTTTTCTCTTGATTATATAATTATTATACTTATAATATAATAATACATATAATTTAATTTTTAATTAATGTTAATTTATGTTAATAATATTATAGATAAATATTGAATAAATTATGCAAAATAATTATTATATTGGTTTAAAAATTGAACAATTTCGAGGAAAAATTTTGAATGCAATCTAAGAGATAACAAAACGTGTATAATATTAATATTTAAAATTGTATTATTTTAATTATAATTTATTATTAAATTCATGTTTTAAAAATAATATGAAAAAGGAATAGTTTAAAGTAAATAAAATTTGCAGATATTGTGAATAATTAATTAACTTTAATAAAATTTATTAAATGCACATCTGTGTAATGTTCTCATATGAGTGAATGTAGAAAGACGTAGAAAAAAACCCATCATATAAGTTTTAATTAAAATTTTTTAATATTTTCTGGAAAAAATCTATAAAAATATTCCATCTGAATAATAATATTAAAAAAAGGAAAAAAACTTTTTTTTTTTTTGCTAAAATTGTAAATGTTGTGTTTCTTACGGTTTTTGAAATTTTTAAATTTGCATTACAAATTTAGTACTCTTAATTGTTTAATTATATAATTAAGGGGATTCTTCTATATGTTAGTGTTTTGCTGATCAATCAAATCATATTGTCGCCGATTCGTACTATGTATAATTATCAGGTAATTTATTCGTATAATGCATCTATGGTTGTTTGCAAAAATATAAAAAAAATGTAGTCATAGCAAGTGGTAACAGTAATTAGAAATCAGTTATTGGGCTTAGAAATATAATCAATTTAGCAGAAATCCCAAAATTTTTGTTACATGATAATATGTATGTATATTGAGAGAAAATGAGTAAAAGCAAATTTATTAAAATTAAATAAAATATGAGTATTGAAAAAATAAACATATCTAATTAAAAAATGAGAGTTTTAATTTGAAAATGGCATAAAAAGGTGATTGAAAATGTTATAATTGAAAATTTTTGAACATGAATTCAATACTTTTTATATAAAATAAAATATTTGAATGGAAAATTTCCATTCTTGATTTTTGTTTTTTGTTTTTAACATCTATATACTTTCATGCATACATATATGACTTGATTTTATCAAGAATAGAAATTGACATTGAAAAATTTACACAAAAAATTATTTAAAGGGGACTAAAATTTTTCGTATGTTATACAATGTTTTGATAGTTATTTTGTTTTAGTCCAATAAAAAGGGTGAAATAAAATATAAATACTTATGTATGAAATTTGAAATTTAAATAATATAAACATATTATTATATGCAATAAATGCACACACCCACATAAAAAATCATTTTAATTTAAATTTGTTAGCACAGCGGTGCACTATAGTCTGTCTACTCATCCATACTTTTCAATGATTTTATAGTTTTATTTCTTTTTCGTTGTTTTTTTATGATAGCACATAAGAATAAGGTCAATGTATAAACTTGAAAAAAATTTTTTTGACAATAAAATGCTAGTGGTGTATCTGTTAAGTGTACGTCATGTTATTATGTATTTGCTGTCAGTGTTTCAGTTTAATGAACTTTTACAATCAGCTTAGGTAAAGGAATGGTTGAGTTGATTAATATCGATTTTTATATTCGGAAGTAAAATAGTTTTGTGGTACAAAGATTTTGTGGGAACATTCAATTTTTTTAAAGTTTTAAAAAGTGATTGTGTTGTCTAGAATTGACATACGAATAGATATGTCAATATTTAATTTAATTAAAATGAAAATATTTCTGCAAAATTGTCATGTGACTGTAAGAATGTTCTTTTTGCAATAATAGTTTATCGTCTCCATATTATTATTTTCCAAATCAATATTTTAATTACAGCACAATTAATATGCAAATACCAATACTTGCTTATTATTTTTATTACTTTTTAAAATTAATTTAAATTTTATTTAATTTTAAGTGTCAAAATATTGTAGAATCTTATTATAAAAAAAATATTAAGTAAATTTCGTTACATAAATTTTGAATAATTCTTTTTAGAAATTCTTTATTATAGTCAGTATTAATTTTACTATTGAAATTACCAAATAAAATGAAAGCAAGTAAAAAATTACAAAAAAAAAAAATATTAAAATATTGAAGCTTAAAGGAGCACATAATGTAAATTTATTATTTACATGAAACAATATTAAATCTGCCGGTCTGCTGGTCTGTCGGTTTGTCGATCTGTCGGTCGATCGGTCTATTAGTCTGTCGGCTTGTCGGTATGTTAGTCTATCGGTCTGTCGGTTTGTCGGTCTGTTGGTCTGTTGGTTTGTCGGTCTGTTTGTCTGTCGGTCTGTTGGTCTGTCGGTTTGTTGGCCTATCGGTGAACTTTTCAGGGAATTCGTATAGCATAAAACGAAATTCTATTAAGGGCCAAATTCACATTAAAAATTATAATTTACTTTTATTTTAATTTTAATAATTACACAAATATACAATTCGTGTCATATAATATAGTTTAAATTGACATTTTGTTATAATTTTGCGTTAAATTAATTTTTGTATCCTAATTTTCAAGATATTCATAAAATTTTTTCTAATTTCCTGATTAAATTTAATTTTATAAGTTAATATAATTATTACAATTTTATTATTACATAGGAAAATCGATTTGTGGTAATACATACATTAATTCATAATAATTATCAACGATTATTCATGAATATACCTTACAAAAACAATTAAACTATTAAAATAAACAATAGTAAATTAAAAAAATATTTTCAAAATACAATTTAACAGTAATGTTCAAAAGTGTTAAATTACAAAAATTATATATATATATAATGTATATCATATATAATAATTTAATAATTTATCTTTATGGTTTTATTGTCATTACTATTAAACAAACTGCAATAAAGAATTCTGTTGAATATAAAAAACTCTAATAACAACACGTTTTTAATTTTAAAAAATAAACAAATTTAATTTATTTACAAGATTTATTATAATTATATTGTGCCATTTTTTATTTTCAAATCTTAAAAATTTTTAAAAAAATTTTAGAATTAATAATGCAAGATGTTAACTTAATATGAGTTTTGTTTTCAAATTTTTCCATACAATTTAGTTGCTTATTGTCAAAGAAAATATGACTTTAAAAATTGCAGTGTTTTAGAATTAATTTTAAAATTTTACAAATTTTAAACCAAGTACGTTCTACAATTCCAAATTTGTCATCATTTATGAATATCATTTTTAAATGCAGAGATAAGGGGGTGCATAAGTCCCAATCAAATAGTTTTCTCCCAAAAAAATATGTTGAAAAGAACGGGTAAAATTTAAAAGTTTTATGGATGTTTTTATTATATTTGGTATTATTAAATTAAATTAGAGTAATAAAATTGTAATAAATTGTAAATATTTTGAAACCTTGAGTGTTAAAAATAGAAATAAAAATTTTTTTTTCATATGTTGTAAATTATTGCTTGCGTTATACCAAAATAATAAACCTTGAGTCTATACATACATAATTTATTTATGATATTGCATGAATGCAGATGCGTTATTGATGTAGAAATTTTGCTATGTATCAAAGTCAAGTAATTAACTCAAATTCTCAGTAAAAACTACTACATTTTATAATCCAATTGGTTTGTAAATATTTGTATAACAGTTTTTGTTTTGACAATAATATTCACGAATATCATCTCATAAAAAACATCTGCATTATTATACAAACAGTAAAAAAAATTTTAAATTAATAAATTCTTTTTCATATAGTATAGGAAGTAATATTAAGGCTAAAAAAATTGTAATATTTTAACAATATTGCTTTATATTTATTTTTAGTTAAAATTTAACTAAATTTTTTTATAATTTTAACTAATATATTAAGTATATTATGAAATATTTGCTCTATGGTGAATTTTATTTCCTATTGTAAATTAAAGAATTTTTAGGATATTTAAGTATTTATTATAATTAAAATATGAAAATTTATTTTACTTTAATGTAACACGATTTAGTTTCGATATTAGATTTCATTAACAAGAAAATATTTAACCCGTTGTAATTAATAGTTACTTAACAATAGTCATGTATGAATTAAAACAATAATTTTGTTCAGTTTTAATAATTCCAATAAAATATATTAAATTGAATTTTAATTTAATTTATACAAAATATTTTAATTTAATTAAAAAATAACTCAAATTGTATAAATAATTATACATGTTACACGATTTTATTGAAATCAATTAAATATCTAGAAAACTATGGGAAAATTCTTAAATTTTTTTTTATTCTTAACATTCTTTTCCCTGTGATGGCATGAAGATTAAACGAATCAATGAAAGACGGACTTGTAAAGGTGATCTTCATCCCAAATTTGATACTCCTTATCAAATTATATTATAAAAACCAAAAAGATCTTAGACTGATTAGTCTGACCCCTTTTGTATTGAAAGCTATGAAGGATGTTTTGTTGATAAGGCATGTTTTGTGGATTAAGTCTGAGCGAAGTACTCCATTCAATATGCAGTAATGCTCTGATGTCCTTCCTAAATGAGAAAGGGAGCTTGTTTAGTTTGGTGTGGAGATGTCGGTGGTTCGCTGAATAATGTCGATGATGTAGTCTAGAATCTTTTTTTCGGGACCGGCTGGCAGTGGAATGACAGATACATCAATAGAAAGACGTCTTATGGGTGTGTACTCTCCGCTGCTGTGGCTTGTGGTCATGAATGAAATTCTGTTGAAACTCGGGAAATGAACGGCGTATAAGCTCAGGCTGAGCCATGGGTATTTCTGTGACGGAACTGGCTTTTGTTACAATTCACACAGTAAAAATGAATATATATATAGATATTATTTACCGTACGGCGACCGTAAGTGGAGAATTTTGTTCACATGCGGGGCGGCAAGGAAGATGTTATCAAAATGCGGAATTGTCATGTTTTCATTTTTTGTTAAAAAACTACTTGTTAAGGCATATATGATTTTTCTTACATAATATATTGAAAATTAAATTGATTTAACTGATTGAACTCAAATCTTAATTGTTTACAATTAATTTTTTTTTTTTTTAATTTTTAATTGTTTATTATTTAATTAAAGTGACGACAAATAAATGAAACAATGGTTTTTTAAAACAAATATGTGAACACTTGAATTTATTATTTTTTAAATTAATATAGTGACCTGAAATTATTTTGTAAATTGAGTAGCTATTCATTGATTAAAAAATTTTAAGTTAATTTTAAATTACAAACATCTTTACATATACAAAACTTAAAAGTCTTTATTGTGAATATGATCATAAGTTTTGCTCATTATAATTATTAATTTATCTTATTATCTATTTTGTCTTATCAGAACTTTTATATAAATAATTTTCTTAACCATTAAGTACCTATTGTTATATATTACGCATATGTATATTTCGGAATTACAATTTTCTCTCTGAATACATAAAAAATTAATAAATTGAAATCATTTTAAATAATAAGACATTGCAAAAACAAAAAATTTACAATAGAATCGCTTATCAGAAATGAGTTTTTCTATTGAAAAGTAGTTTTTTATATATTAAATTAGTTATAATAATAACTGACAGGTGATAACAACATATTTACAATATTAATAAGCAGAAAATGTTTACAGACAACATAGGATTGAAATGTAAACAAACTTCAATAATCTATAATGAATAATTTGATTTTAATTATCGAAAGTAAACTTAACACTTGTTCTAAAGTAGGGTTGGTGTATACACACAAAAAAAAAAAAAATTTATACAAATGCTAATGAAACAAATTTTATTTTTTTTTAAGTTGCTGACTTATTCACTTCTTTAAGTAAGTGGAAGAGTTAAATGAGTACAGGTGTATAGTGAGATATAAGTAAATATCAAAATGATGCCATATGTACCCCATAGCATATACCGTTGCTTTTAGGAATACTGAAAGTATTCAATACTTAAAGTATTATAACGGTCAAAGTTAACACGAACTGTTCTATAAAACAGAAAAAATTTTTTAGTCAACCTTAGCCGACCGAATATCCTATACCTTATACCGGCACTTAACTCAGCATTTTCGTACCATATTCCAAATGGGGTTACATCTATTGCACTTCAAAATTAACCATACGGGCTAGAGTGTACATATTTGTTTTTGCCGAAAACATTATACAACAATATTTATTAAGAATTTTGAAATATATACTGAGACCGTTTCTGACCTTATCGTACTAGCATTTCGCACTTGTCCTTTCTGAATTGTCTCATTAATTTATATTTAATTTATATTAATGAGACAATTCAGAATTGTCTCATAAATATCAATTGTAGAGAAAATATTTCATTTTAGCGATTATAGCGTCATCTATACTACAAAAGATAATCTATTATGATTCTGCCTTTAATTTTTAATTTTCATATTTTTTTTAAATTGTATATTAAAAAGCTTTTTATTTTTTTATCTTCCGTTATGTTTTAGTGAAATTTTTTGTCATGGGAAGCTTTTACATACCGTATCACTAGCAAAAATTTTCAAGGATTCAAAAACTTTTGTTGATATGAGTCTTAAGTTTCCGCCTGAAAAAGTTCTAGCAAATTTTGATAGTTTTATGGAAAATCGTTCAAATCCAAATACAGAGGAAGTTAGAGAATTCGTTAATGTAAGCTATAATTTTAATAAAATTATTTATTAAAAAAAAATATTTTAATTTTTATTTTTTTTTTAGCAAAATTTCAACGAAAAAGGTTTTGAGTTAGAAGTGTGGATACCAACTGATTGGAAGGAAAATCCAAAATTTTTAGAATCAGTTAAGAATGATGCTTTAAGACAATGGGGAAAAGAATTGAATGATATTTGGAAAATTCTGGGTCGTAAAATGAAACCCGAAGTTGAAAATAATCCATATTTGTATTCTATAATACCAGTTAAAAATCCAGTAATTGTGCCTGGCGGTAGATTTTTAGAATTTTACTATTGGGATTCATATTGGGTTATTAAAGGTTTATTAATATGTGAAATGTATACAACCGTCGAAGGTATTTTAGATAATTTTCTTTCAATAATTTATCGTTTTGGTTTTATACCAAATGGCGGACGTATTTATTATTTAAATAGATCCCAACCACCATTATTAGCACCAATGATTAAATCATATGTTGATATAACAAATAATACTGATTTCGCTATAAGAAATGTTAATTTATTAGAAAAGGAATTTAATTATTTTTGGGATAATTATTGTCATGATATTAATGGTCATAAATTATGTTCTTATTTTGCAAAATCATTAGGACCACGTCCTGAATCATATAGAGAAGATTATGAATTAGCAAAAAATTTACAAAGTGAAGAAGAAAAAAATGAATTATATGCAAATATTAAAGCAGCTGCTGAATCTGGTATGGATTTTAGTGGACGTTGGTTTATAACAGAGAATGGAACAAATGATGGAAATTTAACGAATACAAAAGCACGTTATATAATTGCTGTAGATTTAAATGCATATTTATATCAAAATGCAAAAATTATTTCAAATTTTTATGCATTAGCTAAAAATTCTTTGAAATCAGAAGAATTTGCTAAAATAGCTGATGAAATTGCAAAATCAATTGATGCAATTTTATGGAATGATACAATTGGATCATGGTTAGATTATGATTTAATTAATAAAAAACAAAGAAATTATTTTGTTCCAACAAATTTATCACCACTTTGGGTTAAATCATTTAATGTATCGGATAAAGAAAATATTTCTAAAAAAATTTTAAAATATTTAAATGAAACTGGTGTTGATAAATATCCTGGTGGTGTACCAAATACGATAAGAAATACAGGAGAACAATGGGATTTACCAAATGTTTGGCCACCAATGCAACATTTATTAATTATTGGATTAGATAATTTAAATACAACTGAATCAAAAGCATTAGCTGAAAAATGGGCAACAAGATGGGTACAATCAAATTATGCTGCTTACCTTGATAATAAGCATATGTATGAAAAAGTAAGTACTTTTTTTTTTTTTTTTTAATTTATAAAGATTTTTATAATTATTTGTTTAAAATTTTTTTTAGTATGATGCTAATAAATTCGGTGGTCATGGCGGCGGTGGTGAATATGATGTTCAAGTTGGTTTTGGTTGGTCAAATGGTGTTATTATTGATTTATTAACGAAATATGGTGATAAATTAAAACCACATAATAGCGGTAAAATAAATAAAATTATTTTACATTATGTTGATTATTTTGCATCATTATTAAAATCAGAATCATCATCGTCTATATCATCATCTGTTGAATCATCATTTGATTATTATGATAATTTTGTGTAAAAAATTACAATAAAACTTTTTATACATAATAATATATTATAAATTATATAAAATTATATATATATTAGACTATTAATTTTTATATGTACACATGTAAATACACTTATATATAAATACATACCTATATACGTACAAACATTAATATTTAAATATAATTTCCTTTGTTTCAGTAATTTTCTTTTGGTTTTTGCTTACATTCAATATTCACGTATAATAACACATTAAATTAAAAAAATATATATATATTTAAATAAATTTCAAAAGCAAATTTAAATAGATGAAGTAAAATTTTCATTCTCATTATAATAAGGTACACTCTGGTATATGGACATAAATGTAAAATATCATAGTAATTTTTATAATAAACAAACATTTTGTAATATTCAAAAATTGCCTCAGTAAAATAAATTATTGAACATTTAGTATATGCCTCATAAATTTTCAAAATACATAATTGTCTATTTAATAAGCAATAAATTCGAATTGTCATGTTTAATTATTCATAATTTATTCTAAAACTTTTATATAAAAAAAAATTTTTTTTATTTAAAAATAGGAAATTCTTTACTAAAAGGAGGATCAACTGGTTTAATAGTATTTTTATTTGCAGTTTTAACTAGACTATTCCAATAATTTTAAATTAAATTTAATATTGTTTATTATATATTTTATGTAATTTATTAAATGAAAAAAAAAAATATGCAATGTGAAAAAAATAAAATTTAAATAAATAAAATTTTTAATTTATTACAATATTTTTTTTTTTTATTTTATTAAATATTTTCATAGAATTAAAGAGTATAAATGTATGATAATGAAATAATATGAAAAGCCTGTTCCTTTGATTACGTCATCCATCTGTTCTGAAGTTGTATGAAGAAATTTCCATTGGGATTAATGTTAAAAGTTCAGTTTATTTAAGCAGCTCACCGATATTTACAGCTACAATGGGTACCCCCTCCGCCCCCCCCCCCCTTCTCGTTAAAAAATTTCTCTCTAAAAAAATTAATATTATTCTACTATGACACGGCATCTTTAATATGACTTTTGAAAGCTAAAACAAAATTTCAGAATATTTCCCCTTACCAAATTTAAATAGTATTATACTCTCCGACTTTAATTTTTTTCTTAAATGTGTAAAATGTGTAAAATGTCTAAAAAAACAAAAAAAAAATAAATAATCTCCTGTGATTTTGACATTTTTTGACATATCTGTCAAAATTTGTTTTAAATAAAAATTATGCTGGGACCTTGGGGCTTTAACTTGAAATCTCCATTCTTCTCTGTTCATCGCTAGTTCTTCTAGTTCATTCTACGAGATTTCGTATCTATTTAGTTCTTGCAGTACTGTTCTTCTTCATGTTTTTCTGGGACTACTTCTTGGTTTGGACCCCGCTAGAGGATTTGCCCGAGCTATTCTTGTTATGTATTCTTCTTTTCTTAATGTATAACAATTATGCTGTATAAATGTAATTGAATATTTGAATTTGACAGCAAGAGAAATTTTACTACAAGCATGGGTAGCTAAAGACACTTACAGTAAACGGTTGAATTTCTTATAAAAACGGAAATTTCGAAAAAAAAAAACATAATAAAAGAATTTTTAAAGAAGATATAATAATAGTTTTTATTTATCCATTTTATGTATTTTTTTTTTTTTATTTTCTTTAATAAATTTTAAATTTTTTTTCTTAATTCTTAAATATTTTCATATTTTTTTTTCTTATTTTTCTTATATAATTTTTAAATAAATAGTGTTAATTTTTTTTGCTCTGATATATATGTATATATATATATATTTTAAATTTTATTTATATATTTTAGTATATATATAGTAGTATATTTTTTGCTCTCTTATATAGTTTTCAATTATTTTTTTGGTTTCTTTATGATTTTAAATATTTTTTAAATTTTTAAATTTATTTTTAAAATATTTTTTCTTATTCGAATATTTTCATAAAATTCTGTTTTTCTTGGTATTTTTTAATTAGAAAATTAATTATATGTTGACATTTAATTTAATATATGTATATATATATATATATATATATTATATACGAGTATATAGATAAATATATAATTTATTTTTATAAATATTCAAAAAACATTTATTAATTATTTTAAAAATAGATTACAAATTTTGGATTTTGGTTTTTTTTGTTTTTATATACTGAAATAAAAATATGAAAATTTTAATTATATATAAATATTGTAATTATGTAATTGTATTATAAACACGTATTTTATAGAGTACATACATATATATATATATAAATATTAAAAATTTTTTATTCTCATTTTTTCTCTTATAATTTTTTAAGAATATTCTGTTTCTTTTTCAAAATTAGTTTTTATTTTCCATGTATTACAAATGTAGGTTTGATTTTTTTTTTTTTTTTGAATAAAATACTTCATATTTGAATTTTTGAGTACTAAAGTAGGTACGACTTTTTATACTTTTTTTTTTTATATAATTTTTATATAATTAAATTTTATTAATATTTTAATTTTTATTTTTAATTAAATATTATTATTTTTCATATTTCTCTAAAAGTTTTTACGCAAAATTATTTATTAAAAATTTTTCTTCTTTTTATACATTTAAATTTGATTTTTTTATTTTTTTAAATTATTTTTGATATTTTATTTAATTTCTTCCATTATAACGAAAAAAAAAAGAGATGAATGAAAAAATTGAAAATAAAAATTTATTATAAATTAAGAATTTTAATATTTTATTCCAGGTTCCAATTTTAAAAATTTTATATTTCCGATTCTTTTATACGATCTGAAACAAGTCCAAGAGTATAGAACAAACACTTTAAATTCAATTCGATTATTCAATATTGATTAAAAATTCGATTATCAATTGATTATTTCAATATTGTCGAAAACAAAAAAAAAAAAAAACACAAGACGACTTTTGTAATATTAATAGAGAATATTTTTTAATAATCATTTTCCTCACATGTGTCATATTTTATAACAAAAATGTAGAATAATTATTTGTAAATAAAATAAATTAAATTTAATTAGAATTGATAATCCTTTTATATAATAGTGTATATGTTCTCTATTTTCCCAACATTTAATAACCGAATAATTAAAAATTAATATAAAAGTTATCAGATTTCTGAATTATAATTAAAATATAAGCTCTTACTGAAATTATTCTGAGATTTTGCTAAAAAAAAAAAATCAATAGCCGTTATTATGATATTAGATTGCTATTTTTTTGGAATAAATTATTTATATATATTGTAATATAATTAATTTATTCGATATTATTTTATCAATGATTTCATCAATATCTTAAAATTTTAATTAATGAATATTTAAATAATATTGCTCTTCTGTTGTTATTCATTCTAGATTTAAAATCCGAATGTAAAATGTTTGATATTTTTCGCTTTAATATAAATTATACATAGATATAATAAGAATTCCAGCTACATACATATATGTTATGTATTTAAAATGAATTTAATTTTTATGTCCGTTGTTTATTTATAGAATTTAATTTTCATTTCAAAAATTGTTATACACAAAATTAATTGAAATTAAAATTTCGAATATACGCAAAATTTTTCTATTAAATATATTTTTTAATCTATACATTGTAAGATGGCGTAATTTTCGAATAAATTCGAGAAGAACATTTTCAAGACGTCAAATTTCAAATGTCAGACTTAAAACGTTAAGTTTTTTAAATGTCTGATTTTAAATATCATTTTTTTTTGTAAAGTAAATTGTAATTTATATTTTGTATATAATTAAATAATTAAATATTTATTAAAATTTAAATTATATTATTTTTATATAACTATTAATATTAAATATCTTAGTAATCTTTACTGTGATTTCTATACGTTTATAAACTATTATATATTATATGTATGTAAAAGCATGTATAAGTGTACTAATGTATGTTAAAATGTATAAAATTATAATTTAAATTTTTCTACTTTGTTTTTCATACTCTAATTATGAATTTTTTTTTTTTTTTGGGAGAAATAAACTTGATTATTTATATCTATTTAAAATTTTATTATTAAATATAATTATTATATAATAATATTTTTTTTATTATATTAATATATTATTCTTTAATTAAATTATTTTTCTAATCATAAGTTTTTTTTGCTTGTTTTTTAATTTTTTTTTTTTGAATTCGTAACATTGGGATTTTAATTTATTTTTCATTTATTTTCTTAACTTAATTTAATATTTTAATATTATATTAATAATTTTTTTTTAATAATAATAATCATATATTATTAATTTTTATATATTAAAATAAATTTGAAGAAATTGAAAACAGGTGTATAATGTATAATAACAATTATGTAGTGTAAAGTATTTATGTTGTTTAATTTATAACAGTATTTATATTTTTTAGATAACATTTTATCTATGTATGTATGTATGTATATGTGTTCATAATCTTGATAATATTATGTTGTTTAAATGTTTTGTTTTTGTATATATACATATATATATATATATATATGTATATATATATATAATATAGGATTAAAATGAAGGCAACATTTATTCTTTTTTATTTCATTGAATCAAAAAACAAAAGTCTAATAATTTTGTATTTTTCTTTCCTTTTATTATAAATTATTCTTGTTTTTTTTTTTTTTTTTGCAAAAATTACAGGGTGATTTATTTTATGTGAAATAAAATGGCAATAGTAAATTCTTTCTTTTCATTATAATTTTAATTTTAAAAATTTAATGTTATAATGGTTGACTCACAATTTGAAGTATATTTATATCAATATATATCAATATATATATATATCGATATATATTTATATATATCAATAATTTATATATATATATATATATATATATATTATATATATATATATATATATATATATATATATATATATGTATATATAATTATATACTTTAAAATTGTATACATACAATACATATTATTGATATATATATATATATATATATATATATATATATATATATTGATATATATATATCAATAATTTATATATATACAGATATATATATATATACATATATATATATACATATGTATATATATATATATATCAATATATATCAATATATATACATATATATGCATATATATATAAAAATATATATTGAATGTATGTTATATGATATATATATGTATATATATCAATAATACAATTGTAAAGTATATATATATATATATAAAAAGTTATTCTATATATATATAGAAATTTAAAGATGGTGGTTGTTTGTTTTTTTAATAATCCTGATTCGAAATTCGAAATTCTATACATGTATAAGAAAAAATAATAATGATTTATTTATGATAATTGCATAATATAGTAAATTAAATATATACGTCATATATCAACTACATACATATATATAAATATTTAATAAAAATAATCTAATAAATTGAATTTTCTTTTTTTGACATAACCTGAATAATTTAAAATTTTATTTAATATAGTAATTATTTGCAATAATAATAATAATAATAATAATAATAATAATAAATAGACCTCTGCACTTATAAAATAACAAATAAATTTTTAGTTTATTGTGATTTTATATGAAAAAAAAAAATTTATATAAATTAATATTTCTATATTTGCTCAATAGATTTTTAAATATTTTATTCTCTCATTTTTATTTTTAACAAATATTGAAATTAATTTGAAATTTTCTCTTTGACTGTTTTTAACGCGCTCCCTTTATTTTTGTTCTTGTATTGTTGTATTATTCAAGTG